CAAGTACCACTTGACAGAAACAACTCTACACTAGGGAAGTGAGGGTATGACTCTGTGTTACTCATCTGTCCAGCCCTGCCTTATGTACCCAGATTCTAGGGGTAGATCACCTTTGGAAATAAAAGTAATGCTTCTTAAGGAGGCTACAGACTAGTTCACTCCTATTTAGATAAAGAGCACTCTCCTAATGACTCTGTGTACTGAATCACCTTTTATCAGCACCATGTTTTCCTCTTGGCTGTCTACACTGTAGAACTACACTTCCCAGAATCCCTGTGCAATATCATTCAAGGTTAGATTCTGCCAATGAGGCTTTTGCAAATACTTTGAAGAGAAGCATCCATTTTTCTTAGCAGCAGCTGTTCGCAGGCAGATGAAATCATTGTTGGCAGCAGTCCTTGGCTTTGAACGCTTCTCCCAGGAATCACCTGCTATAAGCAGGCAGCTGAGGTCATCAGCAGAAATTTCCAATGGCTTCAGCTGTCCTCCTGCGAATAACTCACGTCAGTGCTCCGTGCAACTAGGATCCTTGATCTGGCTCTCCTGAAATCCTGAGCTTGCAGATTTGCTGAAAAGTAATCAAGACCTCTCCAAAGCCTTCTTGATGCTCTGAACTAACTCCTTCCTGCCAAAAATACTAGAGTGATTTGTTCTCTAAACACATTCAGGATGAAAAAGTTTGATGCATTTATTCAGTAATTCAAGAAAAAATATTTTCTAGTGCCTCGTAGAGGCCAGACCCATGCTAGATGCCAGACATTAGAGTGCTATCCAAATAAACTTCTGCCTTCACTGTGCCTATTCATAATTATCTAATGAGAAACATAATAATAAACCACTGAATATATATTCTGACTTGTACTTTAAGTGAAATCACAAGATGCTGTGAGAATACAACAGGAAGACTTCAATCAAATAGTGTACAATGAGAGTTTGGATGGATAGACTCTCACTATCACCATCAAGTTATAAAAAGCTAAGAGTAATTCCATAATACATTACTAGTCAAAAGAAATTCGCTAGAATCCTTAAAAATATGACTAATTAAATATGCCAAATATCTTTGAATTGTAAAGATGAAATGTATGTCATTGCACAAAATATTTCATCTTGGTTATTTGGCTCAAGGATTTGGATCATTAGTAAGGTAGAAAAAGTAGTTGGCTATAATTGGGTTTTATTATACATGTAAATATTGAAATTTTAGAATAAAATTCATTAGAGAAGAAAAATAAAGTAAAATCGAGTGGGCAACTTTGCTGGGTAGTTCTGGCCAGGAAAAGATAGCATTTAGGTTGTTTATACACATAATTCCATTTAGGTTGTTTATACACATAATTCCATTTATCAGTCATTTCTAAAATTCCTGGGTTTTGGTTATTAAACTAGATTGGAAAAAAGTATAAGTAGTCACTGTTAGAATGTGAATCTAGTAATAACTAGTAATCTCTTAGTAATACAAAGAAAATCATATGGACAACCATCAGCCTCCATTTTAATAACATCTAGAACTTATGAAATGTTTATAAAAATTTCCCTAGTTCTTTATTCTGTATCTCTTCAGCCTTAAAATCTAGATATCTTAATTTGCCTATTCTCAGTCTCTGAATATTATCAAAGAGATATAACATCTGTAATAGCTCAAAACTGAACATCTGGATAGCCTAGCCTTTTTTTTTTTTTTTAAGATTTATTTACTTACTTGAAAGGTAGAGTTACAGACAGAGAGAGGTCTTCCAACCACTGGTTCATTCCCCAGACTTCCAAGCTCCAATCAGATCATAGCAGGGGGCCGGCACTGTGGCACAGCGAGTAAAGCCACCCACCTGCAGTGCCAGCATTCCATATGTGTGCTGGTTCAAGACCCAGCGGCTCCACTTCCCATCCAGCTCTCTGCTATGACCTGGGAAAGCAGTGGAAGATGACCCAAGTCCTTGGGCACCTGCGCCTGCGTGGGAGACCCAGAAGAAGCTCCTGGCTCCTGGCTCCAGATCATTACAGTTCCAGCCATTGCAGCCAACTGGGGAGTGAACCAGCAGATGGAAGACTTCTCTGCCTCTGCTTCTGCCTCTGTCTCTCTGTAACTCTGCCTTTCAAATAAATAAAAAGATCTTTAAAAAAAAAAAAACATAGCAGTAGCATGAACTCTAGGAAGCGTGAACGTAGATCTTAGAATTCTGAACCACCCTAACGTTACAGTCCTTGGGATGAGTTCTGACTTCATAGAAATTTCCTCAGCCTGTATTTTATAGCTGTTTTTACCTGGAAAGATAAATTTATCATTTACATATTCCTAGAAAAATTATAAGTTTACAGATACATTTGTTCATTCAGTACTTTTTGGAGGTCAGTTCTGTGATAAAACTGTAATTTCTAGAAAAATGAAAAATACTAAGTGGCATGTAATTCCTTTCTTGGGGCTGGCATTGTGGCATAGCAGGTAAAGCAACCTCCTGCAGTGCCTGCATCCCATATGGGCACCAGTTTGAGTCCCAGCTCTCTGCTATGGCCTGGGAAAACAGTGGAAGATGGCCCAAGTGTTTGGGCCCCTGTACCTGTGTGGGAGACCTGGAAGAAGCTCCTGGCTTCGGATTGACACAGCTCCAGCTGTTGCAGCCATCTGAGGAGTGAACCATCAGATGGAAGACCTCTCTTTCTGCCTCTCCTCCTCTCTCTGTGTAACTTTGACTTTCAAATAAATAAATAACTCTTAAAATATATAAATAAATGTAATTCTTCTCTCTGAGAAGTTAGCAAGCCAGTTGGGAGCCAAAGAATATGAACTCTAGATGTTGGTCTAATAATATATTTTGCTCTCTCAGATTGAAAGATATTGATTTAGTTGTAATGCTTACTCTATGCCAAAATCTTTTCCAAATGCATGGCATGTCCTATTTCTTAAATTATTATAATAAACCTTAAAATACGTGCTATTAAAACCTTCATATGAAGAAAAAAACTCAAGTTAGGTGACTTGCTCAAGATCATATGGATGTTAAGTCATTACAGCGGATTCAAATCCAAGACTTTTCCACCACAAAGCATTTGCCTTTTACCCATTTGCTATGGGAGCTTGCCTTCTAATACCCATGAATCACTTTATATCCCAGTCTAAAACAAGCTGTGTTCATTTAGAATATGTTCTAAGAAGAAATGAGATAGGATGGACAAAGACAAAGATGGCAGATTTCTCAATTTTCATGAAAACTATAATTTATTCGAGCTGATGGAATATTGTCTTGGAAGAAGTGATATTGAGTAGAAGAACCTACAAAAGTATTCTGAGACTGCATTTGGGCTCAGTGGGAAAGAACATTGTCTTTGATTCATGATGATGTCTGGCATGAAATCAGATTAGTTAAGCTACAATACTTATATCATATTAGTAGCTATCCCTGTACCTGGAATTTATGACACGTGAATTACCTGATTGCCCAGTTCAAGTGAGGACACAACTAAATCTCTCTATCATTTATCTGTTCTAAGCTAATACTAAATAATTTTATATCTTCATTGCATTGTTATTGGGATTGGGGTGGGTGAATGTATTTCTGAGATTCAAATTATCCTGAATCATCACATTTATGAATTCTTCATGACAGAATACTAATTCCATCTTTTTATCTTTTGCTTTTTTGTTCATTCTTCCCAATTTGACTTACAGTACAGCAGTCAGCAGCTACCTAATCTACAAATAACTTTCATGAATGGGGATTCATTTTAACATCAAATAAAACCAACATAAGGCACAACTATTTAGGAATATTTTATATTTTCAAAGTATTTAGGAATTCTTTAATTAGAAAAATAAAGGCAATAGGATTATTTATTAGGTTCTAAAAGTAGCCATGAATTAAATCACTCTCATTCCCCACTTAAAACCTTAAATCACATAGCTGTTGAGCTTTCATTACATTTTTATTCAGTAATACAAACAAAAATGAAGCTGCAATAAAATGTCAAACCTCCATTTTCTAGTACAGGAGTCACTGCCTTTTGAGCACTAAGATGTGACAAGTGTGACTGAGAAAACAAATTTTATATTTCAGTTAATTAATATTCAAGTTGAAATATTAGGTACTCTGTTGAGTTACTGAAAATGTTTAAATATGTTTAGAAAAATTTTGGGTATGTTCTACTTTTTAAGATTTATGAATTCTAACAGATGAAATAATTTTTTTAAGATTTATTTATTTACTTGAAAGAGTTACACAGAGAGAGAGAGAGAGGTCTTCCATCCACTAGTTCACTCCCCAGATGGCTGCAATGGCCAGATCTGCACCAGTCTGAAGCTAGGAGCCAGGAGATTCTTCTGGGTCTCCCACACAGGTGCAGGGGCCCGAGGACTTGGGCCATCTTCCACTGCTTTCCCAGGCCATAGCAGAGAGCTGGATCAGAAGAGGAGCAACTAGGACTCAAACCAACACCCATATGGGATGCCAGCACTATGGGTGATGGCTTTACCCGCTACACCATAGCACCGGCCCCCAAATGAAAGAATTTCAATGAAATGTACTGTAAGTATAGAATCCATACTGGATTTTGAAGAGTAGTGCACACACAGAGTATGTATAAGATATCTCACTAATAGCTGTATTGGTTACATGTTGAATATTTTGAATATGTTGGGATAAGTCAAATATACTATTAAGGGAAGGTGTTTTACCTAGCAGTTAAGATACCCACGTCCATATCAGAGTACCTAGGTTCCTGCCAATGCAAACCATGGGAGGCAATGGTGGTCCATATAGAAGACCTGAACTGAATTTCCAGCACCTTGTTTTGACTTAGCCCAACCCTGATTTTTGTGACTATTTAGGGAATGAACCAGTAGATGGAGGTGCTTGCTTATGCTCACTTGCTCTCTCCCGCTCTTGCTCTCTCTCTCTGCCTCTGAATTTAATAATTTGAAAAAAAATTCACATGTTTTTGTGTGCATTTTAATTCAGTTACTAGAGAGTTTTAAGTTGCATGTGAATTTCACATTTTCTTTCTCTTAGACATCAGGTGAAACAGAACACAAAATCACCGAAATAGAAGTCTGGGGCAGGAGTGAAGTCATTATTGGTTTGGATGATATACATATGGCAGTCATTCTAGGTAAGTCTTTCTCAGTCTGTTTTTTAAATCATCATTCCCTTATGTGTCTTTATAGACATTTTTCTCTAATCATTACCCCCATGAAATTTACACACTGTGATGTACATCTGCTGATGTACTTATTCTTAATATCTAACGTGTTTTTACCTATTTTGTCTTTGCTCCTTTGTGGGTGATATTGTTCCTACTGGGAACTCATGTTTTAGATGAATTGGGACAGGTTAAGTGAATGCAGGCCTAGTGAGGATAGAATGTACCTCAGAAAATAAGAGGCAAGGGACAAGTAAGGGATTCAGAGTTAGGAGGGTAAGAAGTAAATTGAAGAATTAGAAGGCAAAGGTGTCTTGGTCAGGTTTTGATCTAGGGTATAAGAACAGTAATTAGTATCCATATTATCCAACATATTTTCTTTTTTATAGCTTTGCACTATAAATTTTTCTAGACAGATATGAGGTTGGAACAGTACCTAACTCATAATGACTTCAGCCTCAGAATGATTGTATGTAATTATGAGATGTTGTATGTATCACTGCTCCTCCCAAAGTGATCAAACTGATTCTGAGACAAAATGAGAATGTGAAAAGTCTATATACCCTGTAACCATATTTCTAATTGGCTTTTTTTAGCATTGATTTTTATTTGAAAGGCAGAGAGAGAAACAAAGAAAGATGTCCCATCAACTGGTTTACTCCCAAAATGCCCACAACAGCTGGAGCTGGGCAAGGTCAAAGCCAGGATCCCAGAGTTCAATCCAGGTCTCCCACAAAGTCAGCAGGAATCTAAGTGTTTGAGCCCTCCCAGGGCATACATTAAAAATAAGCCAGATTGAAAGGGCAGCCAGGACTCAAACCCACACACACACCCCAATATGGGATGCAGGCTTCCCAAGTAACATCTTAAACACTGCATCTATGGTCTGTTCCTAAATTCGAAGCTTTAGATTCTAATAAAGCAAGTTTTCAACCATCTTGGACCCCTTCCTTATTTTGCCTTCCTTTTCTCTCCACTACTCAATCCCTGCATTAAATGATAAAATGAAGGTAATCTGAGCCTGGAGGAAGGTGTGCACCGAGATGCTGTGGAGAGATCCCTTGGTGACATTTTCTAAAAGTGAAAATGGGTGTAAATAAGGCCCATTTCCACAGTAATGTAAATTTAAAATTTAATTCATTTTATGAGGTAAAAATACCACCTCTGACAATTGTCTGACAGTAACTTTCTTAAAACAGTATAAGCTTGGAACTCACAACATGATGTCATGAGCTAATGATGTAATGATGAACAGAAAAAGGAAATCTCAATTCAATCTTGGATATAAGAAGAGAGGTGATAACTAGGTATTTTCCAGGATTTTCTAGTACTTTCCAAGGTAATAGGCACCATAGCCATCTGAGAAAATGCTCATTCTCGGCAGATCTATCCTCAAAGTGAAGATGAGTATCACAGCTCCATCACCGTGGAACAGCATCTGTTAACTTATTTCATTCTGACTCAAGCAAATTTCTGATTCAAATTCAGCCTCACAAATTGGTCCTCTAACCAACGAAGATTCCTCAGCTGACCCACTATTAAGTTTTCTCACCAGCTGAAAATGGTATTTTTCATTGAAAATTTATTAGCTGGCATTCTACATTTTAAATAAGCCCATTGTATGCATTTAAATTATAGCATGGTATAAATCTAAATCCATAAGTTCCTCCCATTCTCCATCTGTTCCTGTGAGGAGATAGATAAATAGGAAGTGAGGTCAGGTCCCTTAGGGAATGAAAAAAGGGGGAAGTCTCTTTAAGAATGTACAAAATGCAAGCTTTGCCCAAAAGCTACCTCTGGCAAGACAAAAGTGCCGATCCCACCCTTCTGAGTTTATTGTGGAAATAGAAAGAAGTTGCCTATCCTCTCCTCCCCCTTCTGATGGTTTTTTTTGTTTTATGGCGAGCAGGCTAGACAGGACCAAAATTCAGAGCTTCTGATGGGTTTGTCCCTGCCCTTTGATTGATTGATCCCTGAGTTGTGTTTTAAAGGCCCTACTGGAACCAGTTTCTCAGGTCCTCTCTTGGAGCCCCTCTCCTGGCTGCTATGGCAGAAGGTTTCACTTAATGCAGGAATGTAAGTAGTGACTTACATGAACCTTGCTTTGTTTACTGCCTTGTCCACATGGAAATTCTTCTATGTGATGCAAGAACTAAGGTCACCTTCCTTCACTGCCGTTCCCATGTAAGAATCCTTTACCCTCTATCTATGCATTTACCCCACCACCTTCCCATATCACTTAATCAAAAGCTAAGGCATTATCTGAAAATTCTTGTTTCCCTTGGTCCTTCAATTAAACCAGTCATTATAGCTTGCTGATTGCTCCATGTCCCAACATTCTTGCATCACCAGGGCTGCTATCTTAGTCCCTTATCAGTTCTCTCCAACCTCTACAAAGGTCTCTGTACCGCTGATTGTTCTTTCAAATCAGGTATTGCCTTTAACAGCACTACTGCAGCTGTAACTGACATGGCTAAAATGATTCAGGCCCGAACTTATTGTTGTGTTTCTTTTTCTATTCCTCAACTCGGGTTTGGTCTTTGCATTGGCCCTCTCCTTTCAGAAGAAACATTCTCTGTGGCTGCTGCAGAGGCATTGACCAAATCTCCAATAGGGACTTGCTGTCCAGCTGAGGGAGTTCAATCAGCAACAACCTCCAGCCATGAGCTCCTTTGGTATCTGCCTCAGTTGCAGAGACACCCTTCACTCCAGGTCATGCTGTTCCCAAGGTTGCATGTGCATGGTGACTAAGCAGAGCAGATCAGCCACTTTGGGTCCATGCATGTCAGTCATGGGCTCTGCTCACTCCAGAGCTCACTGCCAGACTGAGACTTTGTCAGGCTGCTACCACAATTCGGCTTCTCCTTCTGCCCCATCATGCATCTCTTCTCATTCCTACTCTAAAGAGTCAGCCCTGATAACCACCTGCATTTCCCACTTCATCTTCCACCAGCTGGCACAGTGTCTGTCTCCAGAGAACCCAGCCTATCACAGGAAGTTACATGGCTGACAGTTAGGATTCCAATGTACCCCAACTCCATGATCCCAGCATCAAGAACTATCATTCCTCTTCTTGCTGTGCCTAGAACAATCCTAAGATAGATTCTGATTCAGTCTATTTGGTTCATCTTCAATTCTCTGGGACTAATTACTAGGGCCACAACAGCCCCATCAGGACCAAAAAGTTATCCAATGGAAGAAGAAAGGTGTCCCTGTAGTCCCTTCAATAATCAGCTAAGGGCTTTTTCTAAACCACAGATCTAAATCTGCTTTTCCTTTGTTTAAGCATCAACTTTCTCCCATTGCCTATAATAAAATGTTGGTGAAAAAATATTCATTATAATGCAAAACATCCTCAAACAAAAATTACATATTACTCTTCATTATTGGGCAGAGTAATTCTCTAAAAATGTATTCTGCCTCAAATAGGGATTATTTGGCTGGTGCCGCGGCTCACTATGCTAATCCTCCGCCTGCGGCACGTGCACCCCGGGTTCTAGTCCCGGTCAGGGCGCCGGATTCTGTCCCAGTTGCTCTTCTACCAGTCCAGCTCTCTGCTGTGGCCCGGGAGTGCAGTGGAGGATGGCCCAAGTGCTTGCGCCCTGCACCCGCATGGGAGACCAGGAGAAGCACCTGGCTCCTGGCTTCGGATCAGCGCAGCGCGCCAGCCATAGCAGCCATTTGGGGGGTGAACCAACGGAAAAGGAAGACTTTCTGTCTGTCTCTCTCACTGTCTAACTCTGCCCATCAAAAAAAAAAAGGGGGGGGGGTATTTATTTGTGTAAAATGACACTCAGAGGAATTCAGTCGTTCTCTTTAGTTCAGCTGCTTAGGTATGGTGTGGAGGGCTAAAACCTTGTCAGTTCTCATGATTGCAACATGGCTGCCAAGGCTCTAGCCATCATGCCTTCATTCAAGATAGAACACACCAGAAAGGAAGATGACACAGGAAGGATTTCCCAAAACCACCCCAAATGCAAACCCCACCAGATTCCCAGTAACATTATATAGGCCAGAAACGAATCACATAAAAATCCTGGTTGCAAGGGAGATGTTTTAGAAAGTAAGGCTATTGTAGGAGTTATCAGTAGAGGACAGATTTATACTTAGCTAGAAAAGAGACAAGGTGAAGACTCAGGGGTGTTAGGGACAATGAAATGCTGGTAGAACTGAAGGAGGCAAAGCATCATTTGGAGTGATGCTTTCAGATGGAGGGAAGGAGAATGACAGAGGTGGGCAAAGAGTCGAAAATTTTCAATTGAGATTGACTGGAGTTGGTCGGAACTATCTGTAACCATGAGATAGATCGAAACACAGGAGTCAGGGGCTAAGTGGAGGACGGGGCAAGGAAACAGGAGATACCTCTGTCTTAACAGTTTTTTTTTTTTTAATTTTTATTTATTTGAGAGATAAAGAGGTCTTCCATCCATTGGTTCACACCCCAGATGGCCACAATGGCTGGAGCTGGGCCAGTCCAAAGCCAGGAGCCAGCAGTTTCTTCCAGGTCTCCTCTATGGGTTCAGGGACCAAAGCACTTGGGCCATCTTCTACTGCTTTCCCAGGCCATAAGCAGAGAGCTGGATCAGAAAAGGAGCAGCCAGGACATGAACTGGCAACCCATATGGGATGCTGGCACCAGCATTGGCCCCCTATCTTAACAGTTTTTATAGGCCTAACTTGTACCTGTCACAGAGTAGCACAAGGACCAACAACTCATAAACTGACTTTCCAGACCATGTTAATATATACTGTTTTTTTTTTAAATGTTCATTTATTTTTATGTATTTGAAAGCTCCATTTGGGTCTCCTACATGAGTAACATGTGAGTAGCAAAGACCTATGTACTTGGACTGTCTTGCGCTGCTTTCCCAGGCAGGAGCTGGAACAGAGGCAGAGCAACCAGGACCCAAACCAATGCTCCAATGTGGGATGCCACTGCACCACAGCACTGGCACCCCAAGCAGTGTCTTAACCACTGCACCAAATGCCTACCTCTCCTCTACAACTGTGATCTGTCTCCTGACATCTAGATTGTCTTGTCAAACAGCTTTCTCCTCTCCAGCATTCTGTATGTGCCTAATCTCAACACGCCCAAAGGTCAAATCACCATCCCTTAGTTTCGAGCAACTCATCATTCTCTTATGTTCCCTGGTTGGGAAACTTCAAACTTTTTAAATTAGCATTTTCTTCAAAACTTTAATGTATAAACAAAAGTTCCAATTCTTCCTTCTGCCAGAACACTGTGAATAAATCAGGAATCATCTTGATTCTGTGTGGTCACACACATAATTTGTCATTGATAGAATTCTTTATACTGCTGTTTATTTAAAAAATGGGATAAACCTATATTTTCTGAACACTAATTTAAAGGTTCCTCAATGGCTACTAAAGCTAGTATGTAACACACTGATCCTAATAATCTATGGGTTATGTTTCAATTATTTTGTTATCTTTGCTTTTCATAGTAGCTATCACCTCTCAGGTATTTCATTGTCTTCTAAACTCAGCAATGAAAGGATAAAGATTATGATTATCGTGTTCACTGTGTGTCCCTACTACTTAGAGAAAGGTCTACTATCAACTAGACACTTCTTGAATGAGCACATGGATGATTAATATCACAATGGCAAAAAAAAAAAGTGTTGCTAAAACAGGAGTTAAAATCTATTGAGAATGCACTGTGGGCCAGTACTGAGAGGATATACTATGTGTTTATATGCACTTTTTCTTTTGTTACTCAGAACCTATGAAGTAAATAATATTACTACACCCATTTTACAGATGAACAAATTAAAACTTACAGAAATTAAGGGAGCAGATGTTTAATCTACTGTTAACATTTCAGTTAGGGTGCCAATGTCCCACTTCACAGTACATAGGTTCAATACCTGGTTCCAGCTCCTGGCTCAACTTCTGATAATGCAATGATGACTAAAGTGACATTATTCTCTCTCTCTCTTTAAGACTGATTTATTTACTTGAGAGGCAGAGTTACATAGACAAGGAGAGACAGAGAGAGAGAGGTCTTCCATCAGCTGGTTCACTCTCCAAATGGCAGCAACAGCCAGAGCTGGGCTGGTCAAAAGCCAGGAGCCAGGAGCTAGAAGTTTCTTCTGGGTCTCCCATGTGGGTTCAGGGGCCCAAGCAGTTGGGCCATCCTCCACTGCTTTCCCAGACCATTAGCAGAGAGCTGGATTGGAAGTGGAGCAGCTGGGACTTGAACCAGCACCCATATGGGATGCCAGTGCTGCAGGGATTTGGCAAACGAAGCCACAACACTAGCCCCTCAAGTGGTATTATTCTCACCACCTACATAGAAGAAATAGATTGAATTACCAGCTCCCAGCTTTTTTCTGGCCCAATCCCAGTTAGCCACTGTGGACATTTGGGAAGTGAACAAGTGTTTGGGAGTACCTGTGCTCTCACTGTGTATGTGTGCATGCACGCCTGTTTCTCTCTCTCAAGTTAATAGATTTTAAAAATTGGTATCCAACATTGTGTAGCAGGTAAAGCTGCCACCTGCAATGCCAGCATTCCACATGGGCTTTGGTTCGCATCCCGGCTGCTCCACTTCCAATCCAGCTCCCAAATAATGGCCTGAAAAAGCAGCATAAGATGGCCCAAGTACCTGGGCCTCTGTCACCCACATGGGAGACCTGGAAAAAGCTCCTGGATCCTGGCTTCAGCCTGGCCCAGCACTGGCCATTGCGGCCATCTGCAGGCAGTGAACCAGCAGAAGGAAGATCTCTGTCTCTGTCTCCGCCTCTCTCTTGTAACTCTAACTTTCAAATGAATAAATCTTTTTATTTTTTTAAGTCATTTACTCAGGGACCATCTACTACATGAAGAATCTTAGGGCTCTGTTTCTGATTCCATGATTTTAATGACTATGAAGCTATCAAATTCATTATCTTTTTTTAAAAGCTTGAGCATATTTCAGATTTTTCCTAAAGCATGCATTCACACTCCCCTGTGTTTTATTTTAGTAAAACTTCTTCAACAGGAAATTTTAATTAAGCCAGGAGTGGCATCACAGAGAATAGTGGAGTTTTTCCCTTGCCTGTAGTTTCTCTGATCTCTGCTGTGGCCTATAGAGGGTAGTTCCACTACTAAAGTCTTCTTAGTTAGGATTACAATTATCATATGAATTATCTCTTTCTTGTATAATTGTTTAAATGTAGCCAACAGATGAAGTAACTAGTATTAAGATTTTTGCTGAAGTGAACTCTTTTTTTTAAAGATTTATTTATTTGAAAGTGAGAGTTACACAGAGAGAGGAGAGGTAGAAAGAGAGAAGTCTTCCATTCGATGGTTCACTCCCTCTTGGCTGCAACAGGTAGAGCTGTGCTGATCTGAAGCAAAGAGCCAGGAGCTTCTTCCAGGTCTCCCACCCAGGTGCAGGGGCCCAAGACTTGGGTCATCTTCTACTGCTTTCCCAGGCCATAGCAGAGAGCTGGATTGGAAGTGCAACAGCTTGGACTCAAACCAGCACCCATAAGGGATGCTGACACTGCAGGTGGCGGCTTTACCCACTATGTCACAGTGCCGGCCCCATGAACCTTATTTTTAAGGATGAATTTATCCCATGTGCTCTAAGGTTGAAGCACCTGTGGAAGAAAAAATGGACTACTATAAAAGCCACTCTTTTGTTCCTATATGAAACACATGAAGAACAGTGTGTTTTCTAGGCAGTTTGATGGGAGAGGTAGAAGGGTTTAGATCTCTTGGTAACACTCCTTATAAATAAGAAAGCATCCCTGAGCTAAACTACAAAGAAATGGGGAACATGGAGCTATGTCATGTTGGAATGGAGACTTTGCTGGTTTTTTATTTATTTCTCTAGGAAGAGGAGAAATGAGGCACTTGGGTAGGGATGTAAAAATTTGAAAACAAGGATTGTATTGTGTTTCCATGTGATATATAATGAAAATTCCCTGTGCAGAAAAGAGTACCCATAGCAGGCCTAACTTCCGCCTTTTGGGAAGCTGCTCACGGGGTTGACCCTTGGTTATTGTGTAGGAATATGGATTTCAAGCCAGTTCCCACCATCCTTGGAACTCGTAGAAGTTCCTCCTTGAGATAAACTGTGGCAACGGTATGTATGGTTTATCCTCAACACCTGCTTTCCTCCTGGGAGTCTGGAATTCATGTGCCAGGCAGAGGATGTCTACATGATCAGCCCCAGGGCTCTGAGTCTCCAACAAGCTGCCTTGCTGGCGAAAGTCAGGAAGCAGTTGCCAGAGCCCCCCGCTAGAGGAACTGGGTGTATCCTCTGTGGCTCCTCTGGGAGAGGATCCTTGCAAGCTTGTGTGTGATTCCCTAGGACCTCACTCCTGTGACTTTGCCCTTTGCTAGCTATGTATTCCTGTCCTTTGTGTAATAAATTCAGCCATAAGTACCATTGCTTGCAAAATCCTGTCGCCTTAGCAAATCAGCAAGCTGGGGGTGATCTTGGAGATGTCCACACAGTGCTTAATGATCACTGAAGATCTTCAGTTTCTCACACATCTATTGAGTTTTTACCATGTACATAAGTACTTTTTAAGCCTGGAGAGTATGATAATGAAAAAGGTGCAGCCTCTGTTGAAAAACCTCTGGTCCAGTGGAGTGATTGTTACCCAATGTTGATTTTGTGCCTTAGGAGACATTTGTCAATGTCTGGAGATGATTCTGATTGTCACCATGGGGACAGTGCTATTGGCATCAAGTGGGTAGAAACTAAGTATGTTAATAAACATTCGATGATAAAACAGTACAGCTTCCCTGCTCCAGCCATCATAAAGGTCTATCTAGTCCTGAATGTCAATAGTGAGAGATTGAGAAACTCTAATTTCATGGGAGAAGCACACACATTAACAAATTGGCATCAAATGAGTAGAAACTAAGTATGTTGATAAACATTCTATGATAAAACCATACACCTTCCCTGCTCCAGCCATCATAAAGGTCTATACAGTCCAGAGTGTTAATAGTGAAGAGATTGAGAAACTCTGAGTTCATGGGAGAAGCACACATATTAACAAATCATTTTATTTTTTTAAAGATTTATTTATTTATTTGAAAGTCAGAATTACAGAGGAGGCAGAGAGAGAGGTCTTCCATTCACTGGTTCATCCCCCAGTGGACCGCAATGGCCAGAGCTGTGCCGATCCAAAGCCAGGAACCAGGAGCTTCCTGCAGGTCTCCCACATGGGTGTGGGAGCCCAAGGACTTGGGCAATCTTCCACAGCTTTCCCAGGCCATAGCAGAGAGCTGGACAGGAAGTGCAGCAGCTGGGTCTTGAACCGGTGCCCATATGGGATGCCAGCACTGCAGGCAGTGGCTTTACCCTCTACGCCACAGCACAGGCCACACAAATCATTTTAACACAATGTAAAACTATTCACTGACTTCTAAAGCCCCAGCAGTCTTTCTCCTGCACTGCCTTAGTCATCCATCTCCATTGAAGGGCCCCCCACCTACCATCTTTTCACTTTCCTTTACTCTCAGGACCTCATTTCCCTTGATAAGATTGAATTCCATCATCAATTACAGTAAATATTTCCTTTCATAGCCCCCACATGGCCACATTCATCTCCTATTGTAGACCTAACTTGGATAGTCATGATACTACTTAGATCCTAAGCTACTACCTGCTCCAGACCCCAACTATGCAATAGCCTTTGACTGATTTGTAGTAAACTGATGGGCACTAACCAACAAGTATGCCTTGAATGCTGCCTGATATCATATTTTTTTCATAATTTATTTATTTGTTTGAGAGGCAGAGTTAGAGAAGGAGAGACAAAGAGAGAGAGGTCTTCCAGCCTCCCCAAATGGCTGCAGTGGCCAGAACTGAGCCAACCCAAATCCAGGTGCTTCTTGTGGGTCTCCCATGTGGGTGCAGGGGCCCAAGCACTTGGGCCATCTTCCACTGCTTTCCCAGGCCATTAGCAGAGAGCTGAATCAAAAAAGGAGTAGCCAGCACACGAATCAATGGTCATATAGGATGTCAGGACACAGGTGAAGTTTACCTACTATGCCACAGCACCAGCCCCTGATGTCACATTTTTACAGTCAATAATTTCATATTTTCTCTCTCAAATCTTCTACACCTCCTGTCTCTTCTTTACTCTCAAAATGCTCACCGAATTTCCCACTTCTATGAGAAAATAAAAACAACTGGGGCCAGTACTGTGGCGTAGCAGGTAAAGCCACCACCTGCAGTGCTGGCATCCCATATGGGATGAGTCCCAGCTGCTCCACTTCCTATCCAGCTCTCTGCTACAGCCTGGGAAAGCAGTGCAAGATGACCCAAGTCCTTGGGCTCCTGCACCCACATCGGAGATCCAGAAGAAGCTCCTGGCTTCGGATCAGCACAGCTCCCACAGTTGTGGCCGATTGGGGAGTGAACCATCATATGGAAGACCTCTCTCTCTCTCTCTGCCTCTCCTTCTCTCTCTGTGTAACTCTGAGTTTCAAATAAATAGATAAATCTTAAAAAAAAAAAAAAAAGAATACCCACTAGTGTTCACCGCCACAGCTGCTTACCTGCATGTAGTGAGCCCTACTGACTCTGTCTTTTTTCCATGGAAGTGGATGAACACCATTCGTCAATCAGTTCTAAACCCCTCTCAGTTGCTCAAAGACATCTTTCTAGCAGCTCCATCCCCTGTCTCCTGCATCCTCAGCACTTTTTTCTGAACTCTCTCCCACTAACTCACAAATATGCTATTATTTTCCCCACCAAAAAGAAATCTTCTCTTGACCCTACTTTTCCCTCTATTCACTGCTCCATCTCTTCTCTTTTCTTTACTGCAAAATGCTCAGAATGGTGTTTGCTATTTGCTGCTCTGAATTAGTCCTCCCTCATTCTGTTTTGAGCCAGTTCAGGGTTTCCTCAACACTATCTCCCCAGCTCTGCTCCTGTCATCTTCCTACCTACTGTGCAGCAAGGCAATTACCCTCCAGTAAGTCAGATGGAAGACAAGTGCCAAAGGAAAGCCTTACCCTCCAAGACAGTGATAAAGCCCACAGGTTTTCTGTTAAAGTAACTCTGCTATTCCTATTTTTTTTTAAGATTTAGTTTACTTGAAAGAGTTACACAGAGAGAGAAGGAGAGGCAGAGAGAGAGGTCCTCCATCCACTGGCTCACTCCCCAATTGGCCTCAATGGCCAGAGCTGAGCCAATCAGGAGCCAGAAGCCTCCTCCAGGTCTCCCATGCAGGTGCAGGGATCCAAGGACGTGGGCCATCTTCCACGGCTTTCCCAGGCCATAGCAGATCGAAAGCGGAGCAGCCGGGTCTCCAACCAGTGCCCACATGGGATGCCAGCACCGCAGGCAGCAGCTTTACCCACTCTGCCACAGCACCAGCACCCTCCTATTTCTTTTAAGGAATGTACAGTCCCTCTCAACTCTCTGAATCATGGCTTTCACATTTAGCTCATGATACAAATTGCTTTTTTAAAAAATATTTTATTTATTTGAAAGAGTTACAGAGAGAGGAGAGACAGAGAGAGAGGCCTACCATCCATTGGTTCACTCCCCAGATGGCCGCAACGGCCAGAGCTGTGTCAATCTGAAGCCAGTAACCAGGAGCTTCCTCTGGGTCTCCCACATGGGTGCAGGGGCCCAAGGACTTGGGCCATCTTCTACTGCTTTCTCAGGCCACAGCAGAGAGCTGGACCAGAAGAGGGAGCAGCCAGGATATGAACCGGCACCCATATGGGATGCCAGTGCTTCAGGCCAGAGCACAGCACTGGCCCTGCTTTGTTCTCTTAATAGCTCTAAGCTTAATTTCAATAAAAATAGCACAATTGGCCAATTTATGCTTTCATCCTAGCCTATATAATACCCACTAGGTTATAGAGTAGTAGATTTTTATACGTTTACATATTTATTTGAAAGGCAGAGTGTCAGAGATGGAGAAAGAAAGATCTTCCATCTGCTGGTTCACGCCTCAAATGGCTACAACAGCCAGGGCTGGGCTAGGCCAAAAACAGGAGCCAGGATCTCCATTCTGGTCTCCCACATGTGTGCCAAGGGCCCAAGTACTTGTTCTCTTATCTGTTGCCTTCCTAGCCAGTTGTATTAATAGGAAGCTGGTTCAGAAGTGGAGTAGCTGGGACTTGAACTGGCATTCCAATATGGGATGCCAGCACTGTAAGTGGCAGGCTTGACTTGCTGTGCCACAACACCAGCCCCAGACTGGGTGATCTTATTCAGGTCTATACTGCCAGTCTATACACTGGTCATACCTATATAAAAAGTAGCCCAATACTGTTTCTCTGAATCAGTGCTGAGGGCAGGAAATCTTTGTCCTGAAAAGAGCAATAAACATTAAAAATAGTGACTCTCAGTAAATGTTCAATTATTTCCTCATTCTCTAATGCCATGGATCACATACTACCTTGTAATACACTCATCTATAGGGAACTTCAAAAATTTTCATGGAAATGGAATTAAGGAGCCATGCTGTGAAACAGTGGCTAAGCTACTGCCTGCAATGCTAGCATCCTATATCGGAGCACTGGTCTGAGCGCTGTTGCTGACCCAACTCCCTGCTAATGCACCTGAGAAAGCACTGGAAAATGGCCCAAGTACTGAATCCCCTGCCACCCATGTGGGAGACTCAGATGGAGTTCCTGGATCCTGCTTTTGGTTTGGCCCAGCCCTAGCTGCTGCAGCCATTTAGGGAATGAAGCAGCAGATGGAAAATCTCTCTCTCTCTCCCCCCATCTCTGTCACTCTGCCTTATCAAATAAAATAAATCTTAAAGAAATGAAATGGAATTGCAAGATAAGTTTATGTCAGTACAAAATTATTTTGAAGCCCATGCATAGTTTTTTCATAAAAGTACAATTTCCATAAACTTTGGAGACCTCACATGTTGTGCCCTATGTGGTACCCCTTAGATTTAAGTGCCTGCATTCAAGGACTACATACCAGTCATTTCCATATTTCAGTGCATTGACCCACATTAGAGAAATACAACAGGGAAGTTTGCCCTTTAAGTCTTGAACCTGAACCCCTGCCCTCTGAACTTTCTCCTCCTCTCCAGCTGCTCCTGGCATCCCTAGCTATATGCTACACTGCCTATGCTGTGATGAAGGCTGGGCAGCTGTCAGATTTACTGTTTTATCCCAAGAACCTTACAACATACCCTAGCCTTTGTAGATTATTGGTAAATATTACTTAAATAAATAACAATCAAGCTTTGGTTTCTTTGATTTCATTTGTATGGCTCCCCCCTGGCTAGCCACCTATTATATTCTACTGATTACACCTTTTTACTCAACCATATTTTTAATATATATTTTTAAAGATTTAATTTATTTATTTGAGAGGCAGAGAGAAGGCTTTTCCATCATCTGGTTCACTCCCCAGATGGCCACAATGGCCAGAGCTAGGCCCATCTGAAGCCAGGAGCCAGGAGATTCTTCCAGGTCTCCCATGCAGGTGCAGCGGCCCAATGACTTGGGCCATCTTGCACTGCTTTCCCAGGCCATAGCAGAGGGCTGGATCAGAAGAGGAACAGCCAGGACATGAACTGGTACCCATATGGGAATGCTGGCACCACAGGCAAAGGCTTAGCACAGCAGATCACAGCACCGGCCTTGTAATCGTATTCTATACCCACCCTTGAAATCCACATTGAGAAGCCTGCCAAGGCATGGTACATTTGCATGGCATGCAATATATTTCCAGCAAATAGCCTTCATGGAAATATAACACATCACTGCATAGGCACAGAGCTTGTTTATATGCGATCATTTTCCCCTCTACTCACCATGATGCTGGGCAATAGAAATTAGCTCATTAATAATAATGTAAATGTCCCTGCTAATAAAGATAGGAGCTACATTAGTGCCAAATAACATGCCTTACAGGACTGAGAAATTTTAACATGGGTCTGTGTTCAATTGCTTATTGTTCTAGGAGGGTTTTTGGCTGAGATAATCTCTAAGTCATACTTTTATCTACCAGCACTCATGTTTTGGAAATTTCTGTTCATTAGCATCACGACTAGAGGAGGAGATATACATGGAGAAAAGAAACTAAAATTCAAATTTATTAACTGAGTTGTTTGCCCATAAGTCTGGTATTTTTTTTTTAGATTTGTTTTTTTCAAAATTGAGAAGCACAATCTGGTAGAAGGGGAAGGAGGCTGAATCAGTGAATAGAAATGAAGTGTGAAGCTGACCTATGGCATTTCATTATCAGGAATATCCCTATTTTGCATTAAAATGGATCCTTGGAGACCAGTCATAGTAGTATCTATGTGATAGGCCTGTTTCTCTGGCTATGGGGCATGTGTAACAGAATCTGGACTTGGGGTAGAGGAGAGGTTTGAGGGAGTTGTGATGGAAATGAACCAGAATAATGAATTACACACACATTTGAGTTGAAGCTGCTCCTGGCAAGCTGTAAATTATGAGAGTCATTTATAAGAGTCCATAATTGTTAAAGAAATTTCTGTGTTACTCATCAGGAGACAGAGCCAATAAAAAAAAAAAAATCAGTGCCAGCAAAGAAAAGATTCTCCCTCCCCTCCCATATCAATTATTGGCTATTCTCTGTTGATGATTGAGGAATGACTAGCAACTTAATTAACTCTTTTCCCATTTAAGAAAATCACATTGCTTTGCTCCAAGCATGCCCATAAAAGCTATGCAGAAGATCTGCAGCTACAACGTAGATTTCAAAAAATCCCAAAGCTAGCGCCCCAGGTTCCAACACAAAGGCAGGATAAAACATAATTTTAGCTCTTATTTAAGAAGATTAAATTCTCCTTTAACACAAAACATATATTTTGCTTTCTACAGTACTATATTAGACCAAAAATTTGCACTTCAGAAAACCAGTTAGGATTAGTTGTATTTATGAGAAGCCCAAATTTGCTCAAATCACACCATTGCAAAGACTGACATACACAGTCTGAGAGGAAAAACTAATCATAAACTTTTTTTTTTTTTTTGACAGGCAGAGTTAGACAATGAGAGAGAGAGACAGAGAGAAAGGTCTTCCTTTGCCGTTGGTTCAGCCTCCAATGGCCGCCGCAGCCAGCGTGCTGCGGCTGGCGCACCATGCTGATACGAAGCCAGGAGCCAGGTACTTCCTCCTGGTCTCCCATGCGGGTGCAGGGCGCAAGCACTTGGGCCATCCTCCACTGCACTCCCGGGCCACAGCAGAGAGCTGGACAAGAAGAGAAGCGACCCGGACAGAATCTGGCACCCTGATCGGGACTAGAACCTGGTGTGCCGGCACCGCAGGCAGAGGATTAGCCTATTGAGCCACGACACCGGCCTATAAACTTTCAAATACTAATCATTTGGAGCCAGCATTGTGGTGCAATGAATTAAACTACCATTTGTGACAATAGTATTCCATGTTGCAGTGCTTTTTGAGTACTGGATGCTCTGTTTCCAATCCAGCTCCCTGCTAATGCACCTGAGAAAGCAACAAAAAATGGCTCAAGTACTCTTGGCCCCCTGCCTCCCATATGGGAGACCAGAATGAAATTTCTGGCTTCTTTCTTTGGCCTGGCCCAGACCTGGCTGTTGTGGCCATTTGGGAAGTAAACCAACAAATGAAAGATCTCTCTCTCTCTCTCTCTCTCTCTCTTTTCTCTGCCATTCAAAAAAATCTTTTAAAAAAGAACTAAAATACAAATCAGTTGGGTTTTTAAAAATATTTATTTGATTGATTATTTATGTATTTATCTGAAAGGCAGAGTTAGAGAGAGACAGAAGTTGAGAGAGATCTTTCATCCACTGGCTCACTTGCCAAATGGCCACAACAGGAGGTGCTGAGCCAGGCTGAAGCAAGGAGTCTGTAACAACTCTCTCTGGGTATCCCACACTGGTGGCAGGAGTCTGATTACCTGGGCCATCCTCCACTGCCTTCCCAGGCACATTAGCAGGGAGCTGGATGAGAATGGAGCAGCCAAGACTCGAACTGGCGCTACTGGCTGCTCTGATATGGGATGGTGGTGTCACAAGCAGCAGCTTAACATGCTAAACCAAAATGCTGGCCCCAAAATCAGTTGTTAAACATGTTAACTTTCTCTTTACTTCAACAAACTGTTTTGCCAGTTTTATTTGGTATCACTTGAATATTTTAAATATTCATAACATTGTTACAAAGTTCCTTGAAGAGCAGATCAAACCACTGTAAGTCATAATAGTGTGAGATTGTATTTATTTCAATTATTCACACAGTAGAAATAAGGAACTTTGAATTGGGGCATTTTATTTCATGTGTTTGTTCTCTGTTGCAAGTAAATTCTAAGTTAGCTAACAACCTTCCAATAATTTTGATATCCTTTCTTATTCTAAATAGTTCTACTTTCTTGAGTTATGATTTTATCTATTTTTCTCTAACCTAGTTTAATTTGTTTTTATCAATTCAGATGAGTAAAATCATTATAGTGAGCATTATGGGGAAATGCTGAGTTGGTATAGACAAGCATATTGCCACCAGCGAGTTTACATTCTAATTGGAATGAATCATGTCTACTTAAATAACAATACGGCAACATGGACATAGATACTTGAGGAAGAGTGGTACACATAAAGATCCATGAGAACTCTAATAACAGAAATATTAATCCCAGGGGCCAGTGTTGTGGTTAAGTCACCACCTGAGATGTTGGCATCCCATGTGGGTGCCGGTTTGAATACTAGCTGCCCTACTTCTGGTTCAGCTCCCTGTTAATGTGCTTGGAAAAGCAGTAGAAGATGGCCCAAGTGTTCGGGCTCCTGTACCCATGTGGGAGACCCGGAAGAAGCTCCTGACTCCTGGCCTAGCCATCTGGAGAGTGAAACAGCAGATGGAAGATCAACCTTTCTCTCTCTCTGTCTCTCTCTCTCACTCTCCCCCACTCCTTGTCTGTATAACTCTTTCAAATAAAATAAATAAATCATTAAAAAGAAGAAATATTCATCTCAGGGAGATGAAACAAGCATCACAGAGAAAGTTATGTTTGAGTTGAGCCTTGAAAGGCAGGCAGGGTTTGTATTTCTGGGATAGAAAAATGCGAGCATATAATTGGGTGAGATAACCAAGCTTAGTGACTTACAGGGATTTACATTTCTCCTCTCTTTCAAGGTATAGCTTCCCCATACTCATTTGGGAGCATATGGTATGGTATAGCCAGCTAGACCTTTATGGCAATGGTATATGCAGAAATGGACCATCAAGAGCTGTTACAGTAAAACAGACACAGATAAACATCATCTTAACTGCCTCATTAGATGGTAACAAGCTGATATGCAAATAAGTGGCCTGCACAATGTGACCTCTTCAGGAAGAAAGGAGGGAGGGAGGGAGGGAGAGAATGAAAGTACCCTGAAATTTATTCACAACAGGAATTTTTTAAACATTGGAATATCTTTAACTGTTGATTAGTCTTCTAAGTAGCTTACAGCAGCTGCTAGAAAATCCAGTGTTAGAAAGAAGAAATCATATGCAGAAAGAAAAGATGGGAGAAATAGATATTTTTAATTTTTTCCTTTATTTGAAAGAGTTAGAGGCTGAGAGAGAGAAAGAGAATAAAAGAGAGAATCCTCCATCAACTGGTTCACTCCCCAAATGACAACAACAGCCGGAGATGGTCCAGGCCAAAGCCAAGAGCCAAGTGCTTCATCCGGATCCCCCATATGAGTGGCAAGGGCGCAAGCAAATAGGCCATCTTCTGTTGCTTTCCCATGTATGTTAGCAAGGATCTGGATCAGACTTGGAGCAGCCCGGAGTCAAACAGATGCCCACTTGGGATGCCGGCGTCAGAGGCAACAGCTCAGTGCACTACACCACAGCACCGCCCCCAGAAGAGGTATTTTTAATAATTTTAAAGTGGATATTTTTTAAAAAAGATTTATTTAGTTATTTGAAAGGCAGTGCTACAGAGAGGCAGAGGCAGAGAGAGAGGTCTTCTATCTGCTGGTTCATTCCCTAGATGGCCACAACAGCTAGAACTGAGCCAATCCAAAGCCAGGAGCTAGGAGCTTCTTCTGGGGCTCCCATTTGGGTGTAGGGGCCCAAGGATCTGGGCCATCTTCTATTGCTTTCCCACACCATAGCAGAGAGTTGGATCCAAAGAGAAGCAGCCACAACTTGAAGCAGCACCCATATGGGATGCCGGCACTGCAGATGTCAATTTTACCCACTACGCCACTGTGCAGGCCCCTAGAAATGGCTGATATTTTATGTCAACCAATAACTCTGGAAAATTTTCCTAGAGGGGCCAGTGTTGTGGCATAATTGGTTAAGCTGCCACTCACAACCCCAGCATCAGATATGGGAGCTGGTTCGAGTCCTGGCTACTCAATTTCCAATCCAGCTCCCTGCTAATGTGTCTGGGAAACAGTGGAAGATGGCCCAAGTGCCTGGGCCCCTACGACTGTGTGGGAGACCTAGAAGAAGCTCCTGGCTCCTGGTTTTGGCCTGACCCAGCACTGACATTGCAGCAATTTGGAGATGAACCAGTAGATGGAAGATATCTGTCTCTCTATCTATGACTCTGCTTTTCAAACAAATAAAATAAATCATTAAAAAATTCCTAGGACTCTTGGGACTAACTATGATTTTCTACTATTTACCAATAAATTGGCAATAATGTATGGATGAGAATATTTCTATAATCCTTCCTAATCACAATATGATGCCCAGAAGCCCTAAAGAAAAAGATCAACATTTTTGACTATATAAATAATATCTTTTGGGACTGGCTTATTTCACTCAGCATGATGTGTTCCAGATTCCTCCATTTTGTGGTAAATGACTGGATTTCATGGTTTTGTTTGTTTTTTTACTGCTGTATAGTATTCTATAGAGTACATGTCCCATAATTTCTTTATCCAGTCTACTGTTGATGGGCATTTAGGTTGATTCCAGGTCTTAGCTATTGTGAATTGAGATACAATAAACATTAAGGTGCAGACAGCTTTTTTGTTTGCCAATTTAATTTCCTTTGGATAAATTCCAAAGGGACAAATATCATATGTTCTCCCTGATTGGTGACAACTGACCGAGCACCAAAAAGGAAACCTGTTGAAGTGAAATGGACATTATGAGAGACAGTGACTTGATCAGCCCTTGCCCTGACTGTGGATGAACAACTTAATACTTTATCCCTTTTAGTATTTTTTTTGTTCTACTTAATACTATTGGTTGAACTCTGTAATTAACACACAATTATTCTTAGGTGTTTAAATTTAACTAAAAGTGATCTCTGTTACATATAAAGTGGGAATAAGAGAGGGAGGAGAGGTACAATTTGGGACATGCTCAATTGGACTTGCCCCAAACGGTAGAGTTAGAAACAGACCAGGGGATTCCAATTGAATCCCATCAAGGTGGCATGTACCAATGCCATCTCACTAGTCCAAGTGATCAATTTCAGTTCACAATTGATCATAATGATAGGATTAAGAGTTAAAGGGATCACACCAACAAGACTAGTGTCTGCTAATACTAACTGATAGAATCAAAAAGGGACAGAACTATCCAATATAGGAAGTGGGATACACAGCAGACTCATAGAATGGCAGACGTCCTAAACAGCACTCTGGCCTCAGAATCAGCCCTTAAGGCATGCGGATCCAGCTGAAGAGCCCATGAGAGTATTTCAGACGTAGAAAGCCAAGACACTCTGGCAAAAAAAAAAAAAAAAAAAACTAAATGAAGTATCTCTGTGAGTGAGATCTCAGCAGAAAGAACAGGCCATCAAAGAAGGAGGCACCTTTCTCTGAAGGGAGGAGAGAATTTCCACTTTGACTATGACCTCGTTTAAGATCAGAGTCGACGAACTCAAAATGCTTCCATAGCCTTGGCAACTCATGACAAGAGCCTAGGGAGATTACTGAGTGTCAATTTGCTAAGTCAACAACAGGAGTCACCGTGCACTTACTCCTCATGTAGGATCTCTGTCCTTAATGTGTTGTTCAATGTGAATTAATGCTATAACTAGTACTCAAACAGTATTTTACACTTTATGTTCTGTGTGGATGCAAACTGTTGAAATCTTTACTTAATATATACTAAATTGATCTTCTGTATATAAAGATAATTGAAAATGAATCTTGATGTGAATGGGATGGGAGAGGGAGCAGGAGATGGGATGGTTGCAGGTGGGAGGGAAGTTATGGGAGGGAAGCCATTGTAATCCATAAACTATACTTCAGAAATTTATATTTATTAAATAAAAGTTAAAAAATAAATAATATCTTTTATATAAAAACTCACTATAAGCAAAAATAAGAGACACTAAACATGGAAGAAAATATTTTCAACATACAGCAATACTTCAAAAAGTTCATAAAAATGGTTTAAAAGATTTATTTTGGTGTAAAAATATTTAATGCATACTTGCATGAAAGTGCATAGGTAAATATCACTTTATATAGAAAGTTCTTTTTTTTTTCTTTTAAAGACGTTGTTATTAGAAATACAGAAATACAGAAAAAAGTGGGAAGAGAGAAAGAGATATCTTCCATCTGCTGGTTCACTCCCCAAATGGCCACAACTGGGCCAAGCCGAAGCCAGGAGACAGGAGCTTCTTCCAGGTCTTGGGTGCAGGTTCCCAAGTACTTGGGCCATCTTCTGCTGCTTTCCTAGGCATATTAGCAAGGAGCTGGATTGGAAGGGGAGCAGCTGGGACTTGAACTGTCACCATGTGGTATGCTGGCGCTGGAGGCAGCCCCTCAATCTTCTAAGCCACAACAACTGCCAACAAATCTAATTTTTTTATGAAACATAATAAACATCTTTAAAGATATGGAACTATTTCCAATGTAACTAGCAATTAACTCAAATTTAAACAACAAATTGTTTTATTTGCAAGACAGGTCAAGATTAAGAGCAATAATAATATCTAGTGTTGGTGAATATAGGGAATATTACCAAGGTCATGTACTTTTGTGAAAAGTATATTGATTTTCAGCAAGCTATTTGCAGTATTTCTCAAAAATACATACTTTGATCTAGTAGCTCTATGTCTATGAAGTCAACCTATAATAATAATAATACAAAAGCACATGAACCATATATATAATTGCCTGTTTGTCATAGCAAAAAAATTACAAAATTTATCAAGATATTGATTAAATATATTATCATGAATTTTTATAAGGATGTATCCATTTTGTAATTTTAGCAAGGGGGAAAGGAAGGAGGGGGAAATTGTTCAAAATTATTAAAAATAAAATTAGGGGCAGGCCCTTGGCCTGGTGGTTAAGCCACCAGCTGGGATGCTCACATCCCATGTGGGAGTAGCTTGGTGTTTCCTGTTAATGTGCATACTGGCAGACAGCAGGTGATAGCTCAAGTAAATGTGTTCTCACCGCCCATCTGGGAGACTTTGAGAGACTTGAG